GCGGAAAGAAGAAACTAGTAAAAGTGATTCAGTGGAAAGTGTCTGCTACACGAAGTTACAATGTCACGTATAGAGGAATGTTACTACCCAACGGATCAGCTGTTACCACTTCTCCGGATGAGTGGGATGTGTCCAACGACTAGGGTGATTTCAGGAAGTCGAGAAATCAGTTTGACTTTAAATGCGAGGTGAATTCAATTTAGGTGTATTTCGTTGATTCACCGAACCACGTGAATGACTCAAGTGTTACTCCTCATTCTGTGCAGCCTTGCTGCAAACAAGAGATGAATTGATATATCACAAAGAGCTCTTGTTGCAGAGCAGTACGAAAGCATTCATGCATAGAGAGAGAAGGGCTAGCCTAATAAGTTTCGAGGGCCATCTGAGAGAGGCGAACAAGAACAAGTTAGAACGACCAACTCGAATAGCTTCGAAAAGTGGGCCAGGTTAAGTAAAAGCAGTAAATAGTAAATCACCTGCTAAGCCCGTGTACATGGAAATGTCGGAGCTGCTCAAATTTGACGCCTCCTCACTAAGCTTGTTTACCAGACCCAGAATTTTTTCCGATAACGATCTTTTCCACTCATCATCAACCTGGACAAACACGAAAGGGAAGTGAGGTGAAATCACATTACCTTGAAGTGTTCGTTCCAAGCATCAAACGGGTTGGTGAAATGTCGATCGTCGGAAACATCAACCATAGGGGTAGGTTGATGGAGGTAAAAAGAATGTGCGGTACGTCGATGATTGACAAAAATAGATTGGATGCTGGTGGGCAGGCGTGTGGTACGTACGGTGAGGGTGTGACCACAGTGACCAAAATAACGACACAATATGACAGGTAGATTTGAAAGCTGAAAAAAAGGAAGCACAGTAAACAACTAACAAATTGACAATCCAGTCAGCTTCATTGCTTTTGCAAATGATAATCGAATTGAGGACCTTGCCTTGAGCTCTTGCTTACAGCTACTCGCCCCATACATCTCCACTTCCATTAACTTGTTCCTCTTCACTTCCACCAGGTCAACACGGATTCCTCTCAAACCATTCTTGCGTGATGAATAAGTTTATGTTCATGGGCAGCTTAACCAAGGCTATAATTTTCGACTCCTCAAAAGCATTCTACTGTGTCCCAGGCGTTCTGCTAACCCACAGGCTTTCATCTTATGGGATTCGAATAGGAATTCTACACTGGATTAAGGCTTTCTTACAAAGCAGAAAAATCCAAGTGAAAGTCGCATTAACCTACTAGTCTCCATTGGAATTCCTCAAGGTTCCGTCTCCTGTTTCCGGTCTACGTCAACGACTTTCCTGATGCGCTTTTAAAGCCCGTGCGGGCTTTTTGCGGATGACCTGAAATCTTGGATTCCCAAAGCCATCGGTTTCCAAGCGAATATCGATACGGCAGAGCAGTGGTTACTGGATTGGCCCTTTCCTCTGAACGAGGATAAATGCATCTATATGTTTTCCTGAGATTCAGCGAACGTCTTTGTCGTGCAAGATGAAAATGGATCAGAAGGCATTACGAAGCCGGATACCGAAAAGGATTTAGGTATCAGGCCCTCGTCAGACATATTCTCACTCCAGCAAAATCGGTTCAAAAAGCATTCGTCATTGTTCCGATGATTCGGTACACCTTCCCTGTATTGCCCGAATCGGGAAGGCAAGGAGAGCGTTCTCCAAACTCCGACACCTATGGGGCCGACGTGACGTCAGTTTTTCCGTCAAGGGCAAAGTTCACACTGCAACAGAGCGATCCATACATACTACTTTATGAATCAAAGACGCGATCTCTACACGCAGAGGATCTACGAAAGATGTTAGTGTTTGGCGATCGGTGCCCCCGATGCAATGGTCACGTCTGGTGGAAATACCGGATTCGAAATGCTGAGGTACGCCAGATGGTCTTAGGAAGGAGCCCCGCAAGAGATGGATTACTCACCCTTCGAAGGTAACGGCATGTAGTCCGCATGCCAAAAGAACGTCTGCCTCACAAAGCTCTTTTCACCCAGCCCTGTACTGAACGGAAGCCACCGAGAGGTGAACAGTGTACGACCTGGCAACAAAGTATGAAAACACCAACCAGTAAACTGAATCGGGTCGACAACAGCCGCCTTTCTGGATGGGGACCCAGAGACTCGACTCATCAACTGGCAGAAATGGTCCAATTGAGCAGTCAGTGGCGCTCGTGCATCAAAGCCATCACCCTCTATACGTAGATACCTAATTCATGAACTAACTGAACATGCCATCGCCTCCAAGGAATGCCATGCCATCCGTAAGCAGCTGGTATATAGCTGGTAAATGGATCAATCGATTGACTGGTAAGGACTTCCAGATACACTGTGGGGGCATACATCAGAACACCTCTTGAGTACGCCAACTAATTTGTCTACTCAATGCACAAGAGGGTAGCTTAAAATCAGTTAATAATGAGGCGTATCTCGAGGTGCTTGAACTCTTTCCCCCAGACTGTCGCTGCCTCCGATAGGTCCCATTTATGCCTTGTTTGAACAAAGTTTGACAAAAACTTTCCATCGCTAACCCAACTATGGTTGGCTATATTCACGGATTCATGGACTGACATACAGGATCGAGGCTATTGCCTAAGTTTCCCGGGTCAGTTTTGCTCTTATCGTTCAGCGGCTGTCGTTCACTTGAATGGCAAAATTGAAAAAAACAGGTGTAACACGCTCTTTATGTTCTCAGCGTGGGGCAGTATGCTTGCCAATGCTAGGACACGCATACATTAGTGTCCAATAGGGCTTTGAACTGGGTTCTAGAAGGAGGGTGGACAACCGTCGGAAGAAGTTTATTCCATGCAGCTACTACCGGAAATGAGAAAAAATTGCCTAATGTATGTGCGCGCTCTGAGCTTGAAAATCGTCTCACCGTGTCCAGGCCGTGTGCTTGCTGGGTCAATTTACATCATCATCATC